ACTAGGCATCGAAAGATGTGGGTTTGAACTCCTGCTCTGCCAATATCTGACTGAATGAACTTAGAAAGTCTAGTAACTCTATAATCCTTTTATGGTCTCAGGTTTTTCATTTATAATCAGAAAAATATTATTGATCTTTTAGATTATGTAGAATTAAGAGGGTAAAAATGTATATGCTAAAATACTTTATAGACTCAAAAGAAATATGCAAAATTAAAGGATTATAGAAATGCCGCAAGATAAAATACATATTTAAATTGAAATTGAGTTTTTCTGGAAAAATTATTTATACAGTGCATCAAATATCCTACTTACTTAGGTAATAGAAAACAGTTCTTCATTATTGGTTGTATTTTTCTAGTATATTCACAATTTCTAAAGATTGAGACTACTTTTAGAGCAGCGGTCCCTAACATTTTTGGCACCAGGGACCAGTGCTCCTATGAGCATCTAATGCCTGATGATCTGAGGCAGAGCTGAGGTGGAGCTGAGGAGGTGATGTTACTGCTGGGGAGCGGCTACAAAAACAGATGAAGCTTCGCTCACCTGCTGCTCACCTACTCTTGTGCAGCTTGGTTCCTAACTGACCATGGACCGGTACTGGTCCGTGGCCCGGGGGTTGGGAACCCCTGCTTTAGAGCACTTAACCTATTTTTATTTTATTATTCTATTCCATTTTATTCCAGTCTATTCTATTCTATTCTTGCCAAATTCTTTCTGATGTAAATTCAATAAAAAATATATAAATTTCTGGAAGAATTGTATAAGGTGTGATTTTATTAATCCTGTTCTCAATTCCTAAATGAAGTTTATTTTTCCCATACCATTAATTAATTCATTTATTCAATATTGATTTTGTCATATGTGTCAGATAATGTATAAGTTAATACAAACTGATAAAAGAGTCTCTACCATAAAAGACTCCACTAGCACATTGCCTGGTACTATGGGGGTACTGCAAAGGTGAGGTCCAGGAGAAGACAAACAGAAGTGATTGAACTAAACCGTCAAAAAGAAATAGTAGTTAGCCAGGTTCTTGCTAAAAATGGGATGCTACTGCTCTACAGAGCTAATTAGAAATGCAGAATCTCAGACCTCACCTCAGAACTACTGAATCACAACTGCATATTAAACCAGATCCTCAGGTGACTCATGGACACAATAAAGTATGAGAAGCCCTGAACAGGGAAAAAGGGTGAAAGCGAAAAAAGGAGAAAACATTTTCTACATAGATATACATTCAGGAAACTGCATGTAGTACAGTGTGGTCAGGGAATCTAGGTGAAGAATTTGAGGTAGAGGTGTTGTGGGAGATGCGGAGGTTGTCAGGGACCAGATCCTGTAAGGTCACAGATTTTACCAAGGAATTCTGAGGTTTCCTGACAATGTTGGGAGGTGCTGGATGATTTCAAAAAAGCAGAATGTTATAAGTAGATTGTAATTGTAGATATAAATATTGACACGTATAATTGACATATATAAATATCACTGGGGTTTTTTTTTGACAAGAAAATATGACATAAGTATCAACTTTGAAAAATGGTGTTTTTAGTCTACAGTCATGCCACCCTGAACAAGCCTGATTCCATCTGATCTTGGAAGCTAAGCAAGGTTGGGCCTGGTTAGTACGTGGATGGAAGATCACCTAGGAAGACCATGTGCTGTGAGCGTAAAAAATAAAAAATAAGGGATTGTAAGCTGACAAAGTCCTTGCAATCTGTGAGGTCAACCAAGGGTTGCCTCATCTGAAAAAAAATAAAATATAAAAGGAAAAGAAAAATGGTGTTTTTATAATATTGAGTCTTCCCCATCAAGAACATGACTTATGTTCTTCAGTAAAATTTTATAATTCTTCTTAAAATATACATACCAAATATTCTTATTAGTTTACTTCTAGTCTTCAATAGTTGTGTTGTTATTATGATTTGGAATGTTTTGTTCTATTTTATTTTCTAAAAAGATTATTTAGGATCTTTTATTCTATTTTATGTGTAACAGATTTAGCAAAGCAGTTAATTGTTTCATGTTTATATTGTAACTGTCCTTTACCAAGTCTGTTCTTGGTTTAGTTTGTTCAGCTGATTCTTTAGGTGTTTCTTGGGAAGTGATTGGCATTTCTGTGAGAGTATTGACTCCCCTTTTTCAAAGTTGATGCTTCTTATGTCATTTTTTTCTAATCTGTTACAAAACCCAGTGATATTTATATATGTGATATATCTTAGAGTTTTATGGCTTCTAGTCTTATGTTTTAAGTCTTAAATTTAACATTTTAAATGTTTAATTTTACACAAATAGAGTCAATAGACTATTTAAATTTGATTCTTGGCAATTATAAAAGAGTAAAATAGTATCAGTGTGTTTGGATAACCAAATGCAGAATATTTTTCAGATTGCTAAAGAAGTAGCTATAACTTCCATATTGTTAGCAGGAAATAAAAGCAAAACTATAGTACATATAGCATATGGTAGAATAAAAGGAAAACATAAAGAAACAAAAAAAAATGTAATAAGCAATATAACAAAAGTAAAACCAAACATCAGGTAGAACAATTAAAGATCTTAATAGAGAAAATTACAGATACAATAAAAATAAAACCTAATTTTGTACTGTTAATAAATATCTAACCTGAAACAGAGCATAGAAATTACTTGTTTTAGAGGCATTATTATGTAATGGAAGAAACCAGCATTAGTTTGACTGCCTCCACTTTGGGGAAATCATTTAATACAATCTTAAAATGATATTGCTGAACCATTACTTATCTGAAGATTATAGTGAATCAGATGTTTATTTGAGGTACTAGTACACTCTAGGGGCCACAGCTCTAGAATAAGAAAATAAAGTGGCCCATTGAACATGGAGCCATTGTGGGATCACACATGTCAATAAAGGCTTTATGTTACCTCTAAAGTTTGGCCCTGGGGATGAGGAAATTTTTTTGACTTCTGAAATGGGGTTTGGTTTGTTAAATAAAAAAATATATGTGCTTTCTAAGGCATAAAAATCCTGTTTACTTCTGTCAAATGAATTTACTCATCTAAAATATCAAGGTTCCTTTTAGTAAATTCAATTCCCTAATAAACGATACCTTTTGATACTATACAACTGAGTTTAGTTTATATAAATCCACTGTCAAATTAATGGTTATGCATAAAAATATGCTTTCTTTTCATTGACATTCAGCGCCTTCATAAAAACATCATTTTATCATCCTTAAGGCCAATTTTTATTTTTCAAGTTATTCAGGAGTAAATTGGATAGAATTCTGTTTAGAAATTTACTTGCAAAGTAGTTATTTTTCAGGATGTTGCTACAAAAAAGCTTTGAAAAATAAAGAGGATGTGGGAGACAGGATGAGGAACCTGAATTTTAATTATACCTCTACAAAGAAAACTCTTGACAAATATACTCACTTATCCATTCAGTAAATATTTGTTATGAGTAAGACTGATATTGAGATGACAAAAAGGATTCCTGCTCACCAGTTAGTATGACACAGCAGGTCTGAAGTAGGCCTGCTGGAAAGAAAACATAAGTCTATTTTCATTGAAAAAACAACAGTAAAACACAAAATAACCTTGCATCACTAATTACAATAAAATGACAAAATTAATATATGTTTAAAGAAAATTTCTCTGCTCTCTATCCCCAAACTTTCCATCTCCAGTTTTTTTCCATTTATATTCACATAAAAGAAAAATTAAAAGGCTATAAACCATTTTGTTTGCACTACTTGATTCTTCCACTGTGTGAGTAAGGCTACTATATTTTTGAGCTGAACCTTTTTGTTGGATTTAGGTTCCAAGACACACCTCAAGTTTGAAGTACTGTTTGAAGTACCCTGTTTATTGTTCTGTTTGTTCTAACGGCTGCTTAGAATTGTGGTACAATTCCAAGACTCCCCTGGGATGGAGTCCACCTTAAGTCTGCTTCTCTTGAGAGGGCCAGGCCCCCTTGTGCAGCTGTGGTAGAGGAAGAAACACATAGTACATAATAGAGCTGAAGATTAAAGATGGTGAGCTGTAGCTAGTCATAGGAGCACCGGGAAGCCAGTGAAGAGGAAATAAATGCCTGGCTTGACTTTTTCAGTCGCAGAGAAAGAGAGAGCTGTCTAGCAGGCTGTACAAGCAGCAGCCCTCTACCCAGAAACCCTTAGGCACTGCGATGGATGCCAGAGAGAACACTAAAGGAAACCAAGTCCATCACTCAACCTCTGCATTCCTATTATAACACCTAAGTTTATTACCAACTTTCAGAAATTCAACTTTCAAATATGTTATAGGATAACATCACGTGCATAAGTCTGGAGCTGCTTACATACATTAAAACATTGGCAGTATTGTTTTTAATATTTTTTTAATCCATTGAATTCATAAAAGACAATAAAGCGTGTTATTAATTTTATTATTTTACAACCATGGTCACTTAAAATGTCACACATAAAGCACATGTAATGAATGGTAGAAGAGCTAATAATCCAAAATTCAAATCAGTTGCTACTATATATTTCTATATCCATTATTGTATTTTAATAAAAAGGAGAAGTTTAAAAAAAGATCTTTCTCTCCATATTCTGACTCCATCCTAACATCATCAAGGTGATATTTGAAAGAGGTCATGATATGGTTTAATTTTTTAAGAGTATTCTCTTATCCTCAGTAAGTATCTCAGTTTAAAAATTACTTTACTCATAGCCTTTAGACTATGCGGACAATTGTTCTACTAGGAATAACAGCTGATATGTCAATGAACACAAGGCAAAATTAAGCAGAATGAGTAAATAATATAAAAGATTTGTATATAAATTAATAAATTTAAGGTTAACTTTATCATCTATATCTTCTATAACAATTAATTATATTTATCAGGTGTATTATCTAATACCTAAGATCAAAAACAAAGTAGAAATGTTTTGAAAGGATAAAGAATTTACACATTTATAACCTTTTGATTAAAATTTGTTTACAGAAATTAGCAAAGATGTCTTCAAGTCCTCGTTTTTCTAAAGCTGTGTCTCCTTGCCTGGCCAGTTGTTGGGTTGTAGCAAATGATCACTTGTAGTACAATTTTCCTTTTTGATTCTTGTAGACACCATTGTTCTTTCTCTCTTGGTTCTGAAGCTTCTATGTTTTGAAACATAATTTTTCTTTAAAGTGAAAAGTACTGCAATATTTAGGAAAATGGACATTATGCCCAGCATCATAGTTAGTCCCAGATATATGTGTCTAAAAGAAGAGAGAATCCAACTTTAAATAAAATGTGTAAGGAAGGTAATAATGTCACTCAATAAATATCAATACCAATGAAATCCACAATATCAGTAAAATCATCATGAGGATGATTTTCTTTAAGAATGCAGATAAGTGGCTCTAAGTCCTTTCTATGAACATTTGACAGATTTTTGAAGGAAGTATGCTTAATAGGGTAATTTTTTAGCAGTACCGTCATTTTCAGTTACTACTAATTACATAATCAATTCTATCCTCTCTGTTAATTAGTCCCTTCGACCAGGTGACCTAATTCCTATTTGCCCAAAAGTCCCAGCTTATGCTGGTGTTGTCCTAGTATAATTTTTAATAGTGTCCCCTTTAACTCTCAAAAGTGTTAATGATAAATCATATGGTTACTTGCCCAAATTCACTTCTACAGAAAAACTGCAAGAAGCAATGTTAAAGGGGAATCAGAGCTCTCTGTGGAATAGAATGACTCAAGAATAAACTATAGGCTTAAATCAGTTTCTTCCATGAGAAGCCTTTAGTTCTACATTCTTTTGTAAGACAGGAAGGTTTGGAAGGACAGGTTGCATGATTCATTCTCATCACCTTGTACACACACTCACAACCTCTGATTAAGTAATATTGTCTTTAGATTAAAGTGAATTACAGCCCTAGCAAATGTGAATGAAGTGTGAATTCTACTCACAGATCAGGTCCCTTTCAAAGACCAAAATAAATTTCTCACATAACTTCAAAGCCTATTAAATCAAACAAACTTATTTAACATGATTGGCTGAATTCGCATCCAACTTCCAATTTACAGGGCTCAGCACCAAGTCTATTTCTCTAGAAAATGCTCAGATTGTAAATCTAAAAAAATTCTTGCTTTTAAGTTGTTGAAGCATAGCTTTAAGCAATAAGGAGACTAAGTGATGAATTGAACTGAATGATAGCATAGTGAAAAAGCCACATCCTTCAGCCCCGTACACACTCACACTCACAGAGAAAACCTTTTACTTTTATGCATTTCAAGTACTGGAATAATTGAACATCAGTTTGGCAATAAAAGCCGAATAGATTTAGAGCCAAATCCAACTCTTGCCCAGGGGGATTATATCTGACGTAAATGGGACAGTTTGGCTCAGTTTAAAAAAGAATAGAAATAAACCCAAAATGTGACCTAAATTTAAATGCTTCTGAGTTTCAGGGGATTGCTCATTTGTATGCATAACCTTTCGAAATTCTACTCTATTCTGGAATCTCATGTCATATTTTTAAAAAAATGATCATTCATTTAAAATGCAAGTCAAGATTAGGTATAGGGAAAAATGAAAAATATAGCCAAATAATCAAATGATAACAGAAATATTCTATAAAACAGAACACACTCATGGATTAGATTATCCTTTTCCTTACAAGCAGTGAAACTACATGATGAATTATTAGTGTCCATCGCATTGTACAAACCTAGGATGTGGTAGCAGTGAGATGCAGAATAAGTTTTATACGGTACCTAAAAGTGTTTGAATCATATAATCTGCAGGATCCTCTAGTTCCACATCTCTTAAATCCCCATTTAAGGCATGAAGTATCAATCAAAACTCCAAAATATACAGGAGCTGGGATGCCTGCTGTGAAATAAACAAATAATTGCTACTAAAAATATATGTACATCTTTTTGGTTATCCTATAATGAATGATTATCTGGAACCACTTACTTTCACTCCAAAAATTATTGCTTCAGAGATAACAGGGCATCTGTAGGAGCTCAGAATATGCCCCCCCAGAATATGCTTCTAGTGTAAAGACTCTTTTGAGCTGATTATTTTGAGAAACAGAAGAAGCTCTGAAGACAGGGCGTAAATTTATTTTCTGTAAGGGAGATTTGCATTTGTAAGGAAATCTCCATTTGTAAAGGTGTCTCCCTCTGTACCAGGAAGAGAAAGATTCCATATTCAAGAAAGAACTAGTTGATTTTATTTTGTATAAAATCTCATGAACAAGTAGAGCAAATAGATAAATAGATCTAACAATCAATTTGGATTATTTAGTGTCTTAAATAAAATTTCTCTCTATATTGTCTTATATTTATCACTTAAAAACATTTAGATGATAACTAACTTTACATTGCTCTTAATAATATGAAGAAAGACCCCCCAAAAATCTAAATGCTTGCCATTTCCTGGAAAATTTTTAAATTTTCATAATGGCAAATTTTTAAAGAGTTACAAAATTAAAGAAGATAATATAACGAACCCATGCATGGCATCAGTAACTCCAACAATTATTAATATTTTGTCATTCCTGTGTCCTCTATCTCTAGACCAACACCTCTCCCACCCTTGAAACATTTTTTGGGAGAATATTTTAAGAGAAATCTCAGATAAAATGTCGTTTACTCTATATGTATTTCGGTACGCATGTCTAACATTCTTGAGCATACCACTATGCCCTTCAACACATTATATAACTTTTTAGTCTTATCAAAAATTTATAGTCATGCTAAGAGATATAAGTCAGATCAAAGAGAACTACTGTATGATCTCATTTATTTATACGTGGAATCTAAATAATATAAAACAAAACAAAAAAATCCCAAACTCATAGAAAAAGAGATCAGACTTGTGATTACTGGAGGTGATGGGTGGTATGGGGGTGTGGGGAATTGGAGGAAGGTGGTCAGAGGTACAAACTTCCAATTGTAAGTAAATAGTACTAAGGATTTAATATACAACATTATGTCTATAGATTGCACTGATGTATGATATATAGGAAAGTTGTTAAAAAGGTAATTCCTGAGTTCTCATCATTAGGAAAAATTTATTTTTCCTTTTTTCTTGTTTCTTTTCATTGTATCTGTATGAGAAGTTGCAGATTAGCTGAACCTATTATGGTAATCATTTCACAATATGTGCAAATCAAACCATCACGGTGTACGTTTTAAACTTAGACAGTGATGTGTGTCAATTATTTCTTAATAAAATTGAGAAAAAATCCATATTCAAACTCTTCTGAATGTCTTCGAGAGACACTGAGTGACACAGTTTTAGACACTGGTTTGTTCTAATCAAGATTCATACTCGGTAAACATATTACATTTAGTTAATGGCTCTCTCCCCAACATTTTTCCATACTGATGATATTTGAAGTAAGATATTTGTCCTGTAGAAAGTGCCTCAGTCTAAATTTGACTCGTTGCTTCTTTACAACATAGTTTAATTTGTTCTCCTAGTCTCCATATTTCCAATAACCTGGTAGTCAGCTCTTGGATACACTCAGGTTCAATTCAAGAAGACAGGTGGTTCTGTGTGTCCTGCTTGTTACTCTTAGTAATGTTAAAATGGATCTGAGGCTCCATTAATGAAGTTTTCATCAACTTTCACTTTTAGCAGATGTTTATGAAGTTGCAAAACAGAAATTTTTAAAATCATATTATTCCTTGTGTACAAATTATTTAGAATTTTTCCATAAATATTTTCCTTCATGATTATTTGGTTACTTTGAAATATAGTTAATGGAAGAAAGGCAAGACAAATAGTCAACTCCTTCCCTTCATTAATTTTAAGAATAATGAGTTAGTGTTCTAGGCTCTCCCAAATTATTTAAGTACCATTATGAATTCATGTCTTTATATATAGTCAATGTATTTCAATACAGTACAGCTATTATTATTTATTATTATTAAATTTTCAAATTATCTCACCTTAGACCAAGCTCCTCAAATTGGTCTTGTGTTCTTTTGACATATCCCTATTAGCCTCTGATAGCTTTCTTACTTTCAGCACAAAAAGTTGTCCCATAATCATCTTACGCATTTTCTACCCTAGATCTTGAATTGGTCATTTCTCCCAGGTGCTTTGGTTCCATTACTGAGAAATGATAATTGCAGATCATACACTGAGTGTGCTATGGGTGCCCATTTCTCCTGAGTTATACCGATTCTAGATTTTTCAGGAGACAGAGATATAAAATACAATTATTTAAAAATAAAACTATATAAGCTCATATTGATATTTCACATATAATTAAAAATGGGTTTTACTTAAATTACTTTTTGTTATACTTTTATCACTTTTCTGTTATGCTGAAAATATTGATTCCTAATGATAGCAATATCTCATTTGCTTAATCTTAAAATATACAATAGTGTCAACATAAAGATGCCCAAGTTAATATTAATAAAATATAAAATATAGTGAAACTATAGAGATTTGGTAATAACTCTATCTTTTTAAGTCATTGAAACTGTAGAGATTTGGTAATAACTCTATCTTTTTAAGTCATTGAAAGATTTTTCCTGTATGGTTATGCCACTTATACGATATACAGCTAGTTTAAATTTGTTTTAAGAATTTCTTTGTTCTTTTAACTTAATTTTTAAAAATTATATAAAACCTCACATGATTTCACATTAAAAGTTACATTTACAGCTTCATTTCCATCCTATCCTCTATTTTCTCTTTTCTTTCTTCTCTAACAGGTAAACTTTTTAAAAAAAATAATTAGTTTTTAGTTTACACTTCTATTGTTTCTGTTTTTAAATAAGAACAAATACCTTTGATTGTGTGTATAATATTTCTATTTTTCCATACTTACACCAAATGCATCATACTATAAACACTATTCTACATTTTGCTTCCCTTTGCTTTAATAGCATATTCTAGAGATCTTTGGTATTATAGACTGAATTGTGTCCCTCTAAAATTTTATACATTGAAGCTCTAACTGCCAGTGTGACTGCATGTGGAGACAGAGTCATTAAGGAGATGATTAAGGTTAAATAAAGTCATAAGTGTGAGGGCCTAATCAGATAGGACTAGTGTCCTTATAAGAAAGGAAAAAGCAGCAGAGATCTCTGTATTTCATACTCCATGTGTACACATAGGAAAGGCCATGTGGCGGGGCACAGTGAGAAGATGGCCATCAATAAGCCAGACAGCAACCCGGTCATCACATTGATCTTCATCTTCTCAGTCTTCAGAAGTATGAGAAAATTACTTTCTGTCATGTGAGCCTCCCAGTGCATGCTGTTCTGTTTTGGCAGCTAGAGCTGACCAATTAATTTGGTAACACTAGAGAGAGATTTTTCCCTATTCATCCTTACAGTTACTTAGTATTTCATTGTGTGAGTTTACTATAGTTTATTCAATCAATCTCATATTGATGGACATTTAGACTGCTTCCAGTCTTTTGCTATTATAAATAAGGCCACAGTGATTGATATCTATAAGATTAGAATTATTTCATACTTTCACTAATGAATTTTTGGCATCAATCCCTAGAAGTAGGGTGGCTAGGTCAGAAGATAAATCTATATGTAATTTTGTTAGTTTTTGCTAGATAGCCCTCCCCAGAAATAGTATCATTTTCTCAATAGCAATGTAAAAGCATAACTATTTTTCTATATGCTGGAAACAGCATTTGATAATTTGCCAATCTGATAAGTAAGAATCAGCATGTCAGTGTAGATTTAGTTTGTACTCTTATTATAAGAGAATTTGACCATCTTTTTATACATGAAGAGGCGTTTACATTTATTTTTCCATGAAATGTGGCCATCAATAAGCCAGACAGCAACCCGGTCATCACATTGATCTTCATCTTCTCAGTCTTCAGAAGTATGAGAAAATTACTTTCTGTCATGTGAGCCTCCCAGTGCATGCTGTTCTGTTTTGGCAGCTAGAGCTGACCAATTAATTTGGTAACACTAGAGAGAGATTTTTCCCTATTCATCCTTACAGTTACTTAGTATTTCATTGTGTGAGTTTACTATAGTTTATTCAATCAATCTCATATTGATGGACATTTAGACTGCTTCCAGTCTTTTGCTATTATAAATAAGGCCACAGTGATTGATATCTATAAGATTAGAATTATTTCATACTTTCACTAATGAATTTTTGGCATCAATCCCTAGAAGTAGGGTGGCTAGGTCAGAAGATAAATCTATATGTAATTTTGTTAGTTTTTGCTAGATAGCCCTCCCCAGAAATAGTATCATTTTCTCAATAGCAATGTAAAAGCATAACTATTTTTCTATATGCTGGAAACAGCATTTGATAATTTGCCAATCTGATAAGTAAGAATCAGCATGTCAGTGTAGATTTAGTTTGTACTCTTATTATAAGAGAATTTGACCATCTTTTTATACATTTATTTTTCCATGAAATGATTGTCCATACCTTTACATATTTTTCTATTTATTGTTGGTTTTTTCATTCTCAATACTTAGGATCTCTCTCTATAATACGGATATTAGCCACTTGTCTATCATAAAAATTGCAAAAAAATTTTTCCCAGTTTGTATTTACCTTTTTTTGATATTTGCTTTATGATATTTACCTTTAGCCTTACAATATTTTTGCCATTTTCAAGTAGATTTTTATTTTTTATAGAATCAATTTTATGAATCATTTCTTTTTCTCAAAAAATTTTTTCACATTGCAGGTTCACATCTGTATTGCCAGAGGGAGGTAGGTACAGAGACCAGTTCTAGCCAGGGGCATACTTCAGGCTCAATAATCTGACATTTTTCTAGATAACTTCATTTTTATATTATAGAATTATAATTCTATAAAAAAGCTGGCCATGATGGCATAAATTTACATTTTCGTTATTTCCCCAGTTTTATCAGGGTCATGTTATATTTTCATATGTTCCTATTTATATCGAGATCTTTGTAAACCAATTTTATTTTCAGATTTTTTTAAAGCGCAGAGTTTCTTTTTTTTTCCTCTGGTAGTTCTTTTCGGTTAAATTACAAAAGAACACATAATTATTTTATTTTATTCTTCATAATATCAGTTTTTTAAGGAATAGAAACTTTATCTGACTTATTTGCTCTATTTCTTATGGGTTTTAATTAAGACATATTGAAAAATCTGGTAGTCAGAAAAAGCATTCCAATTACATTTTTAAAAATCATCTACCCAAATTCATACTGCTTTGATTGTTTAAATGATCTGATTTTTCTACCAAAATGAGATATCAGACCATTGAGAGTAGCTCAAAAGAATTTCTTTTATTTTAATAATTGAAAAAATTATATTTAGGTTTTGGTCTTTTTAAACTATTCTTTATTTTCTCTTTCCTTTCAGAGGGCTCTCCCATAATAGCAATGGATTTTTTGACAATAGACCAATGCTAGAAGAGACAAGATTGTTAAACAAAAAATATTATTACTCTCACAAAATTACTGTATTATAACATGAGTACAGTATTAGCTCTCAATAAATATTTCTGGAATAAAAGAAGGGAGAAGTCAGGAAAAAAGGGAGGGGAAGAGGAAATGAAGGAAAGATGAAAATAAAAATAATAGGGACCTAACCACCTACATCATTTAGTTATACATAATAACTCTGTAAAATATTTAGGGAAGTATTCAAAATACATTTGTGATGGCTACCATACTTAAAACATAGATTATACTCACCAAGAACTCTTATTGCTAAAGTGTAGATACCCAGGGCAAAAGACTTAAGTTGTGGCTTAATGCATCTGAAAACAACAAAAGCACTATTATACACATACTCATATATATTATTTATATATATATATATATTTTTTCCATTAAAGCAAATAGTAATATTAGTGATAATCCACTTAATACATGTGGACGTTAGAATTCAGGTAGCTTTTATGGAGAACCCACTCATGTCCTAACTGTGGAAAGGCAAATTATGTAAAATTAAATGTGATGAATGCATCAAGGAGTTTACACTTAATATTTCTAGAAGATAAATCACCCCTATATAACATCATATTCAAAAAGTGTTGGGTAAAGTAAAATTATAAGTTTAACTAGCAAAATAACAAAGACTCACAGGAAAAAAAATTTTTTTTCTAAGAAATTGCAATAATTTGAGGCAACAATAAAAGATTAATAACCTATAACTAGTTTTTGTGGTTTTCGTCTGAAGGCATAGGACCCCATTGACCTGAGTTGATAAAATCACAATCACTGTGGCATACTAAGTGCTTTTGCTAAACAGCGGAGACCTGAATTTTCCAGCCAAGTGCAAGAATACCTAACAAGAGCATCCTTAATATGACTGTATAGCTTTAATTCATTGGCCTATAGATTTTAATAGTAATGATAATAATGATATATGATAACTGTTGAGTATTAATCATGGTACTAAATTCTTCTTAGGTATAATATCATTTATCTCCACTTTAAAAGAGGCAAAAATCACAATTTTTTTCTTCAATCCTATGACATCAAAATACAGCAAGCATGGTTCATTGGAGGGACTGGTGGTGAGGAAAATTCTTCCTCTAGTAGACTGTTTATTCGTTTGGCCCAGGTAACCACTTGACACAGTATAAGGGGATGTTGAAGAAATAGCCACCCATGAAGAACAGCCCTGGTCTGAGAACTCTGGGGCAGTGTTTTTCCATCTTTTCAATCCTATACTCCCATTTGAAAATACAAATATCTCATGTTCTCCTTAAACCCCTTTAAAAAAAAAAAAAGGATTTGTGGATGTTAGGTACTATTTTTTTATCTTTCCTAATCAATTTCCATAATATAAACTGTAGGATATTAAGGATGTATATAATACTTTTGATTAATTTCAATTTAGAAAAACTTAATATTCATTCTTCAATATATTAATTTAAAAGTCACCTAATCCAGCTCATAAAAGATTAATTTCCAATAAAATTTGATTTTTATGTTTAATAATTTTATTAAAATGTATAATATTTTAGGTTATTCTTATTAATTGTATAATAGTAATATTTGCAAGACTAATTCAATTGGAAAAACATTTTATCACTGAGAATACTGGTTATAAAACTAACATTTTAAAATTTGAATTTATATACTGTTTTATAGAGATCTATGATAGGAGAGTCAATAAAAATGTTCAGGCACAAGTTATATTGTAATAGAAGAAAAACCTATAGGGAAGTTCAATAAAGATATAAGTTCAGGGGAAGAAAGAAATATGTAACATTTTTGACTATTAAAGTTCTTTTTATATAATTTTACATTTAAAAGAGTGTCCAACATTTAAAATCATTATATTTTTTAATGTAAATATTTACAATATACTGGAAATCAATGCTTAGTTACTATTTACACTTACAATAACAAATCTTTAGATGTCTACTTAATTTGCAAAGGGGTACACAGTATTAAAAATTCTTTGAGGATTTTATAGGCAAAAATGTTTGAAGTCATTAACATCATATTTATGGATTAGGATCCTCAATTGATTTGAAAGCCATTAATATCCATATACACACATACGCAGATAATTCCAGTCCAAGCAAGAATAATTTGGAAAAAGTAATAACTTACATATCAAAGTAATAAATACAAACCATTGTGGCATTAGATGAAATTTAAACAGTCTTATAAGTTGTGTCATCCAAGTTCAGTGAAATCATGTTTAATTCTAAAACACATTTAGTCTATACTGGTTAATATTATTACCAGCATTAGAAATAGCACCTTGTATTTTTTTGAGTGGCTATAGTGATGTAGGCACTGACATTTCTTTCTAGACCAATGGTCTGCAAATATTTTTAACTAGAAAAACTTCAACCACATTTTAATATTAAAACCTAAAGTGGGAAAAGTATAAAAGTGGAACAAAGATGTAGGACAAGTTTTCTGAGAGAGACGTAAGAAACTGTGATGATTCTGTAGAATAGAATTTGAAATCTTATCTTAAAATTGAGATGAGAGTATCAGTGTTTACCTCAGAAGCAATATATATCCAGGTATGCCACCTAGGGATAAAGTATAGGACGTGATGACTGATATTACAAGGAAATACAGAAACATTTTGGAACATCCATTGTCTTTTTGACATCTGCCCACCATGCCTGAGGAATTTCCTGATATAGAGGTGGCAGTTCCCACACAGGTGCAGTTATAAAATATCTGTAAGGAAAAAATCAATTATTGAGGTAAACTTTACATAAAATTAAAGATAAATATTTATTTTAAAAGACTTTGCAGTATTCATTATATAAATAATAAGGAAAATATTATTTTATTTTTCTGTTAGAATATAGCAAACAAAGCAAAATATAGAGATAACTTTATTATCCAAATAGCAGATGGCTGGTCTACAAACAGATCCTACAGAACAGTCTCCCAGCAAATAATACCAAATCCACTCGTGCCTTATTTCCTCTGCTGCTTCCAAGCCTAAACTACCATTATTTCTTGCCTTGATTATGCTATGTCTTCATGCTCAACTTATTTCTACTCTTATCCAGTTATCGTATTTCTCATACACAGTAATCAAAGTGAGCCTTGAGAAATGCAGTCACATTGCATCACTATTCTCAACCTTCCAATGGTTTCTTGTATAAAGTCCAAAATCCTTAAAGTGTCTTACACACTATTCATGGGGTAGCTTTTGGATCCTGCTCAGAACTGACTGCTCAGTGATTTCTTCCCGTTCCCTCTGCTTCAGCCACACACATGGGTTCCCATTGTGCCCTTGCTGTTTTCTCTGCTGGGCTGTTCTAGACAGCTACACGGCTTCCACACACACTTCAGGTCTTTGCTCAGATATTTCATTAAAGAGAGTTTCCATGGCTACTCATTCAAAATAATATCTCCATCTCTCAACTCCTTCATCCTCACTTCTCTTTTCCTCATAGTGCTTGTGGCTACCTATCGGATTATATAATTATTTATGTTTAAACAATATATCCCCACTAGAATGTAACCTCTGTTGGAAACTTTCTGCTTTGTTATCGTTGTTTAGTCTCTCATTTTAGGCCCTCGATAACAATTTTTTAAATACATGGGCACAATTTAAGGATATGACAGAATTTATAGTGGTTATTAGAAAAAATATACTGATAAATGAAACTCAATTAAATCTTAGACAGAGAGACAACTTTTTATAATCTCTCATAGTTTAGTTCTATAAATTTCATGTATGAATGTGTATATATAATGAGTTATCATTTTCATCGCAAAAGAGTTGTGAAGTTTTAGATAAATAATGAACTAAAACTGGCATTTCCTTTTCAAGGAAGAGTAGTAATATAGGTTTTTGTGTGTGTGTGCTTTTTTTATTTTTCCCTAATGTCAGGTAAAGAGCTTTTGAATCTTGACTCTGCCTCTCACTGCATATGTGAGTTTAGGCAAGTCCCTTGTATTTCGGTGCCTCAGTTCTCACATGAGAAAAATAAGTAAAATAATATTCATTTACTCTAAATGCAATTTTGTTTTTAAAGCACCTCTTTTAGCCCCTGGCATGCAATGTATTCAATAAATGAATAAATGAGGCTCTAGTTAAGAAAAATCTTCAAGCAGTTTAGGCAAAAGGGTAGTGGCGAAAAGCTAAAAAGAAAAAAAAAAGAAGAAAAGAAAAAGAAACAAAAAGAAGAGAGAAAGGAAAGAAAGATGAAAAAGGAGAGAGGGTGAAAACTCAGACTTCAGATGGGTGAGGAGTCTTATTTACTGTTGCTAGACACCAATCTTTTCTGTTCTGAATAAAATGTCAAAATAACAATAAACGAAGAAAATCAAGTGTTACTCTGTGTCTGCAGAAATATTTGTCTAATCATTCTTATATTGTTGAGAAGCATGTGTAAATATATGTGTGGTTTCATTTTCTGCCCTCTACCACTGTCAAATACAGACAGATCTCATTAGCTGTAAGTACAAAGCAGTCTGACCACTGCTATATACACAGAGAATATGAGGAAGAATCTATATTTAGGACAAGAATGTAAATGTGTGATTAGAGGGATAAGTTTGTTAATAATTGTTGTACATCATATCTTTTACAATTGATTTTCTACTTATATTTCCAACTTCACCTCACACTTCCATCCTACAGAAGTCCTTCATTCCAGCTACCTACTCTTTATTATACAAATTGGCTCGATTTCTCAGGAAGAACTGTCCTAGAACCATCAACTTCCTTACCATCAGATAGATTCCTGACTCTGGGTCTAGATCTTTTGGTCTAGACTTCCTAACACTGGTCTTTATTTTTTCTGTCTCTAATACCATCAAGGACTACTGGTCTTGGAGTCAGGAAACATGAATTTCGATGCAGATCTTATATGATCTTATGACTGAGACTCTCTCATTCCTTAAAAGCAAAATGAGAGAACTAGACTACATAACTACAAAGCTCCTCCAGCCTGTTCCATGATTCTAATTCTCAGCCTAGTTCTTTCGAAAACTCTAGTTCCACTAGTGATGGTTATATTTCCTGTCTCCACACAAAAGAACAAGGACAGAGTAAGAGCCGGGGCTCCTACCAGTGTCGTCTGCTTCTGGGTTGGTCCCTGAACCCACACTGAGTTGTGGAGTTACATATTACAGCAGGCCCAGGGGCACACACTTTAGAGATTTCTTACAATAGTCTTTCCACTCCTGGTGGAGTTTTGACAACCAGCAAGACAAGCCGATGCATACGTGATTCCATTTGCACCACACATGGGTTCCCATTTTGTCTCTGAACATTTGCATCTTGAGTTGCAATCTGAAAAGAGAGCTCGTTCATGATAAGAGACAGGTTTGGTTCTGAAAAGAAATGTAACAGTATAAAATATTACCTCTTAGCAGGCAGCACCCTAATATTTTCAAAAATCAATGTTCTTGAGTGATATAAATGACACTGCCAACAAAGTTTTTCCTTATGGAAACACAATTGTCATTAGAAATGTCAGTTTCTGATCATTAAATGTGAATTTACTAATAAACAACTCTCTCTTGAAAATTATCTTTAGAGGTTCACGACTTCACATAATATCCTATTCCTGGCTTAAGGGCTTTTACTAATGTCTATTTCTAGAATCTCAATACATTACTATGTAAAGATGTATAAAAATGGATAACAAGGCAGAAAAATAAACTTTCAGAGCTACTTTCAGAGCTATTTATGGCATTACTTTTAAAGCATTGCAGATATTGTGTGTGTATGTTTACATTTCCTTCAAAATTGTCTGAGCATCAGTGGAATGGGCATTGTTGATGGTATGATGACGGAAAAACATTGCCAAGCAGTCAACATTATTTCAATAAAGTTTTAATGCCTGTAGGAGCTATATATCGTATTTGTGTATGTCTTACTAATAAATACATTGCCAGTTCATTTAACTTTTCTCTTTCCCACATATTCCCCCACTGTATGGAGCCCTTCCATATCTTATATTGTCCTCTTTGACTCTATTGCACATGCTTTTTAAAATGATTTATTCATTCATTTGTTCAAACACAAAAATGTATTGGAAACCTAAGTGCTTGCTTTGGGAGGAGAGAAGATGGTTACAAACATGGAGGAAAAAATATCTGCCCTCAAGAAGCCGGCTTTTTAAAAAACAATTAATTTTACCTAATTTTGGTTGTCTTCTTTTTTTCTCTCCCTCTTTTGTTTCATCTCATTCTCTCTTATCTTCCACCTTCATCTCTCCCAGAATTTCTTTTTTCTCACTTCTGTTTCTTCCTGTCATCTGAATTGCCTAATCCTTCTATTCTTATTCTCCTTGCACTATCCATATGCCGTTTTTATTTAAAGGGTCACTTAGTGATATACAATGGTCTAAATATTCTATCTGCTCTTTATTTGCTATCCATTGTCCATTCATAATTCATTTATTCCTCTTCCATTTTGAACTTAATTTTTATTCCCTATTCCCATTTTTTACAAAGGTATTTGAGAGACCTACAATAATGACAACAACAACAACAACAAAATACTTTGTTATGTACACTCAGTGAGGGCAGAAACTATTTGTTTTATTCACTTTTGTATTCCCACCACCAAGAATAATTCCAGGAATGTAATAGCTTAAGAAATAAGATTGCTTGTAAATCAAGGAATTGAAGAAAAATGGTATTCTATTTTGGTGAAAGAATCACTCATTTTGGCCCCTCCCTCTGAGAGGTATTTCCTATAAAAATTGCAATCAGAATTTCTTAATTGATGTAATATTTCATCTAGTAGAACTGCTATGGATTTGGGTACCTTAAAAGTCAAAACAAAAGACCACTGAGGTGTCTTCAAATAGAATAAAAAGATATTTAACCAGATCACCTGGGAAGTCACATGGGAATATTCTCTTCCACAAGGCATTAATTGTTAACTGAGACTGTCTGGTAGTATCTGAAAGTGTATAAATATGCCTTTTAAAGCCTAGAACCAGGCCACTATGGATACTGTAGGCTGAGATAATAAAAGATTAGAGCTAAAAGAAATTTTGGAGGTGTTCCTGGGCAATTACTCATTTAGAAGATCAGGATAGTCAGGTCCAAAGTGGACAGATAATTTGCTCAAATTCACAATGTTTATCACAATGACAAAAAACAACCCTTCCAGGTCTCTGGATTCTAAATTTGTGACTCTCACATCAGACTTATTCTCATTATTGCAGAAGAAAGGTTTCCTCTACTACCATATCTAAGGCTTCTCTACAATGTTCCTATTGAACACCCAGAATTAAAACAGCCTTGTGGAACAAAGCAACTCAGGATAATTCCTCAGGAACATGTTGTATTTTACAAAGCCAACTATTTTATATTACTGAGGTAAATTAAATTGATCACCTCTGGCAATCTCAAAGCAGAAGTTAGTTGTATACACATTTTATGAAGGATGTGTTGACAGTGGAGTTGTTACTTAAATTTTTAATTATGAATTTTATCAAATATGCCAGAATGTTTATACACAAATGCAGTCAGACTGAGAGAGAAGAGGTTTTCCCAGTGGTGCTGTCATTTCTTTTAGCTGCTTCCAGTAGCAAAGCTATTTTTAAGGGTAAAGAAGAGTTTTAGAATGATTTAAACAATGATAGCATTATTGCAATGCAGTCATAGTCTTTCAAAGTGAGTGCTTTCAAGGGCTAATATTTACTCAATGAGTATACTATCTTTTATTCCTTTAAAAATATTTAATTTTTTATTATGTGAGTATATTTTCAATGTGAACCTCAAAAGTTTGCTGTTGCTGCCTGTTTATGTGTTTGCTTTTGGCTTAGCAATAGCATGATGTTATAGAAAGAATGTTATACTTTAGGAAGCTAACTGACCTTTCTAAACAGTTTCCTTTAAAAAAGGGTAACAAAACTTACCTCATAAAGGTGCTCTAAAGATACAAGTGAGATAATGAAATTTAAGGTGTTTCGTAAGTTGCAAAATTACAAAGTACTTTACTACTATCCATCTACCATGAGGATAATAGGGACAGTTAAAGATAATACAATGCTTCTACTCTCTCCAGAAATGTCTTTCTATTTCTGTTTATAACTAATGCTTTTTTTTTTTTTTAATCTACATTGCTGTTACCAAGGCAATGCTACACTAAGCTAACAGTGCTGTGATAACATCCAGAAGCAATGGTATATAAACTCTGTGTTCATTGATTTTCCTGGATGTTTTAGATAACAAAAGTATAAATGATATTCACTTAACAGCAGGAGAAACCCAGTTAATGAAGGTGGTGAAGGCTGGAATATGGAGACAAGACAGATAGATAAGCTTGGAAGAAAACGTAGGAAGGAAGCTGGAGAGCAAGCCATAAGAAGAGCAGCTGAACTGGCAGGAAACAGAATGTAGTGTCAGGAGCGTTGGCCTTTGAGCCACAGGCAGTTTCAATCAGTCAGACAGATGCAGTCAAGGAAGTCACCCTGGCATAAAATAATGGCTCAATACTTTTTTTTTTTTTAAACCAGTAATGTAGTTAGGTGGATGTATAAAGAGAGCTGCCTCTGGGAACTCATGTTCAGAGATGCAGTGATGGCAAGAACTCTTGAATTGAAGGAGCAAAGTAATTTCTTCAAGATCTATGTAGCCTTGTATTAAGAGTCATAGATTCCACTTCTTGGTATTTATCTGAAGAAAACGAAAACACTTATTTGAAAAGATATATGTACCCTTATGTGTATGGTACTATTATTTATAATAGCCAAGATATGACAGCAATCTAGGTGTCCAATGGTTGATGAATGGAGAATGATGGTGTATATATATGTATACACACACACACATTCATACATACATACACACACATACATACTAGGGAATATTACTAAGTAATAAAAAAAAGAAAGAAACTTGCCATTTACGACAACATAGATAGACCTAGAGGGTATTATGCCAAGCGAAATAAGTCAGACAGAGAAAGACAAATACCATATGTTTTTACTTACATGTGGAATCTAAAAAAAATAATGAACAAACAAAACAAACCAGAAAGAGACTCATAAATACAGATAAAAAATTAATGATTGTCAGAGGGTGGGGGCGAGGGATAGGTGAAAAAGATGTAGAGTGATAAAAGGTACAAAATTCCAGTTATAAAATAAATAAGTGATGGGGATGTAATGTATAGCACAGGGAATATAGTTAATAACATTGTAATAACTTTGCAGGGTGACAGGTGGTTACTAGACTTATAGTGATCATGTCTTAAGGTATATAAGTGTCAAATCACTATATAGTACAGTTGAAACTAATATAATATTGTATGCCAACTACTCTTTAATTAAAAAAAAAATAGAGCATTAGTCTCTGAAAACTAAGAATCTTATCCCACCCCATACGGGATGGCATAGGTCTGAGAACATCAATACATATTCTCTTGACCAAGTGCAAAAAACTAAAGAGAGCTGTCATGTGGGTCATGGGGTGGAAGAATAGTATTCTCTCCTGAAACTTCACACGATTTGTGTACAACAGAGACTATGAAGGGTAACATCAGAGACTATGAAGGGTAGCATAGAGACCATTTGGTTATTCAGGTGTTCAAAGAAAAAAAATACAATTGTTTCCATGAATGGCTCATCTATTTTGTGCCAGGCAAGTGTTAATCACTTTCATGTATATTATCTTGCTTAAATGTTACAAAACTTAAAAAGATAGTTATTATTTCTATTTTTAAATGGGAAAGTTGAGCCTGGATTAGATTAAATAACCCATACAATGCCTGTTCACTAAGAATGAACAGAAGCAAGATTCAAGGTCTATATTTTCTACCATCAGATTGCTTCCCTAAAGTAAGATGTGGGTTTAGCATATTTATATTTCTTTAAGACATTCAAATTCAAAAGAGATGTATGAGAGATTTTGGTGACAATAACAGATTCCTTATCATAAATATTGTCAGCTATTTCACAACAGAACAATAACTCCCTTTCCACAGTTATGATGCTTAAGAATCAAATTATTTCATTTTGAAGCTCTATCAAAAATTAATTTGACTAAGCAAGCCAGTCTCTTCAGATTATTTAATGAGTGAACATACCCTTGGTAGGAGATAGTTAACCCTGCCACATCAGAATTTTCACATCCCAATGCAAACAGGGAAAGGAATAGGAGGTACCCAAGGACAGATGATCCCAAGTAGATTTTTGCAGCTCCACATACACCAATTCTGAATTTTTTCATAGCTATCCCCCCAGAGAATATTCCAAGAGCCACTGCAGGTATGTTGATGAGCCCTGAGAAACAAGAAAAATGTATCATTTTTTAAATCTCTGAAAGAAATTTGAGTGCACTCATTCGAACATTCTAAGGGATTATACAAAGCTATGCAATAGTTCCTGACATATTATTAGACTACTTGGTCATTTTAAGTTACAGAAATATTCATTTGCTATCATCTATTGATGTATATCAAAAGATTTTGATAGATGTCTAGGTTATAGCCTAAGTACAGCACAACTGACAGTCCCAGAGTTCTGCCTACACAATGTCTAGCACAGGGTTTAGTAGGACAAACATACTGTCAGTTTGATTATCCCTTTCAAATTCCCTAGGATTTATAAGTTAACCATGCTGGCCCAAGTTGATGGTAAATTTCCTGAATATCAGATGAGATGTGCTCCTTGCCTCCTAAAGCTTCTTTTCTTTCATCTTAAATATTTTTAAGTAATTTAATGAGACAGAAATTTCACTCTGATTTCTTTATTACACACTTTTTCCACTCACACCAGAAAATGTTGATCTTAAAATGTTTACTGACTAAATATTCCAAATGGAAATATTATTTGTAATTTATACTGCAATTTGATTCAATTTATTGTATGTATTTTCTTTTGATTTTAATATATTTACCCAAACATCAAGAAAGCTAAGAGAAATTTTAGCTAATTTCCTATTATAATTCCAGCACACCTATTTAGGTTAAAGACCTTATTCTTTGTTACCATACTAAACAAGACTTATGACGGATGTATTAAATGTTTTGAGATGGTCAGCACAATTACAATATAAATTGGAAACTTTTGATTCCCATGCAGATGCATGATAGCCTTAGCCATTAAGATGAAGTAGTAATGAATATAATTACAGTACTTTGGGATTTTTTAGAGCTTCTTTTCTAGTGAAGCAAAATTTCATATTTTATAATGAACCTTACAATATTACTTTAATGTTATAAGAAATAAGTAGTAAGATCTAAATGCAAGGAAAATTTATGAGACTTTTCACACTCCTATAGCCCATTGTGGATAAAGAAGTAAAATTAGCCATCGTTCTGGGACAAAATAAAAGTATTTTTTTTCTCACAAATTAAGATTATTTTTATCATCTCACAGCTTTTATTATACCTTTACCTAATTTTAGAATACATCATAACACAATTACTAAATTTGCTATGCCTTAGCCACAAAAATTAATATTTTTTTATTATAAGCAGCTTTTCCCCAAATAATTGTTAATTTTTCTTGATTTGTCTGTGTGATACCTCCAGGAACTGAGAATGATAATCAGTGTTATCACTGATAGTAAATGTTGCTGTATTGTATCTACTAGAAACTGTCTTATCAATTAAAAAATTCAAAGAAGTTAATTAAAAATGAGTAAATAATTACTATTTGTGTATTAAGAAGAAAAGATAAGATTATTTGCATGTAACTTAATAGCGATAGGAAAAGCTTAACTGGAAAATTCAACTGCCTATCCAAACTTCTTCCAGTAGAAATTGCAATGAAAATTAAAAAAAACACACACTTAAAAAAGGAAAAACATTTTACCATATATTCTCTAGTCCTTGAATTTGAAACATTTTTGTTTTTTTTATTTTTCTTCAATTTTCTTTGCAAAATTAAAGTAGTTAACATGAGAAAATGCCAAGTGTATAGAGAAAGGTCCTGGATTAAAAAAATCAATCATCTATAATTTAAAAGAGCATTATCTTAAAAGAGCATATGGTTAAATTCTTCTCATCAGTTTTCCAAAAAATAATTATGTCCAGTGTGGAAATAAACTTAGAAACCTAGGAGAAATAATTTATTCCTGGGTATATCATAATGTATGTATACCACATATGCATGACATTGAGCAGGCTACCGAGTCTCCCAGAATTTCAAATTCTTTCATCTGTGCTAATTCTCCTTAAAAATAATTTTATAGGCAAAAGTATTTCATTTATTACCTACTCAATAAAGGAATGTGATTACATACAGTCTCATTTTCTATTACAAATACACTCCCCCAAGCTATGCTTAATTTTCCTTTATAAAATAAACTTTTAAATTTAAAATAAAAAAATTAGTCATCACTCTAGTGAGAGCAAACTCAATGACTCCCAAATCTCTAAGTGTTATGTACATGATAAACAATGAAAAATAAACATATACTTAAAGATGTATCCCTTTAGTATAATTTATGCAGAAAAATTGTCTTTTCATTTTGATAAATGAACCTTGACCTCCTTCTTTACATTATATCAAAAACATTTGAAATGGATTAAAACCTAAATGTAAAAGTTAAAACAAGCTACTAGTGGAAATATTAAGAAAACGTTTTCATGTCCTTGGGGTTTGAAAAATATTTCTTAAAACAAGTTTAAAATGACACTAATAAAAAAGAGTGAAAATTGAACTTAAAATTAAGAAACTCACTATTAGAAGAGTGAAAAGGCAAATTGAAGTGTGTGATAAAATATTTATAATATATATATTTAATAAAGAATTCATATCAAGAAAAAAGTATAGTACCATAAATCAATAAGAAAAAGATTGACAACTCAATGAAAATGAGCAAACATTTTGAACATAATTAACAAAAGAGAATGTTAAAATAACCAATAAGCCTGATAAAAGTCCTCAACATCATTAATCAGTTAAATGCAAATTAAAGCACAATAAGATACCGCCACATCCCATAACAATAATTACAATGAAAAAGACTGACAGTACTAAGTATCATAAGGGTGTGGAGCAACTGGAACGTTCTTATACTTCTAATGGGAGTATAAATTTGAACAACTCTTATGTAAAATGTTTTGGCAATTTAACTGGAGATAAATGACCCAGCAATTCTGCTCTAAGATATAGCAAAGAAAAACGAGCATATATGCCCACCAAAATACATGTAGAGTTACTTATAATAGCCAAAAGCAAAAAAAAAAAAAAAATCAAATGTCTATCATCTATAAAATCAGTAAATAAACCGCATTATAGTCATGTGTTAAAATATTACACAGCAATGAAAAATAAAACAAACCACTGCTATACACAATATGAATGAATCTCATAAGGTTTCATTTCAAGTAAAATATGCTAGATACAAAAGAGTACCTAACATATTATTCCATTTACATAAAGTTCAAAAACAGGCAAAACTGATCTATAACAATAGAGTTCA